CATTAATTTTAACAAAATATTTCATGCCCACAGCATACAGTGGTACCTCCCGAGCTCAGCCCCAGACCAGAAAGGGAGGCTGTGGGCCTCAGTCTCCCGGACCAGCCCACAGCAGTCTCAGAAGGGAAGGCGGGTATGGTCCAGGCCTGCAGGAAGTGCCAGGGGAAAGCAGATCTCACGAGCAGCCCGGTGAGCTTTGAAGCACAAATAAGGCTGGAGCGAGGTCTCACTTTCCACTTCTGGGCCAGGCAGTACCTCCAGTCCAAGGGCACACCTTGCACAGAACAGAACAAGCCTCGTGGCTGTTTATCAAACCACGTACACACACACAAAGATGGAGCAGTCTTAGCCAGGCGTGGTGGTGCACACCTGTGATCCCAGCACTCAGGAGGCTGACGCAGGAGGATCACTGCTTTGAGACCAGCCTGGAGTGGTGAGTTCAATGTTATTTTAAACTATATAGTGAGACCCTGTCTCAAAACAACAACAATAACAACAACAACAAAAAAAAGATGAGCAGTCTTAGCTGGGTATGGTGGTCCTTGTCTGTAATCTTAGCATTCAGGAGGCTGAGACAGGAAACTCACTGAGAGTTTAAGGCCAGCCTGAACTAATAAAAGCAAAAAGAGAGATTGAGCAATTTTCTGGGTTTCACTCCCACTTCAGGATGAAGTCACCTCTGTGACCCACGCAGCAGGACTGAGTCTTTGTGATGCATAAATGTGCATGCACAAGGACCTCGCGGTGGCCTGCAGGGCAGCACCCCTGGCTCTGCCCCCTCCCGCAGGGCCTGCCCCAGCAGTTCAGACTAAAAACTTCCTTGGTATCTGGTCTCAGTGCCACTGGATGCTAGGCTTTGAAAGTTCCTGTCCCTATGACTTTCAGGTAAGGCCTGACCAGGGATCAGAAAACTGCAGATCTTTGGGCTTCTGAGCTGCAGCCAGCCATACACAGGGTGTGATATGGCCCTGTACCAATAAAGCTTTATTGACAACGCGAGACAAGTGTGCACCTGCACCAGGTGACAGAGCCGGAAGGCAGCTCCCAGGCGGTGGCCTGTCCCACAATACCACTGCCAGGCCAGGCATCACCACACAAAAATCAAAAGCACCCTGAGGCAGGAGTGGTGGTGCACTCCTGTAAACCCAGCATTCAGGAGGCTGAGGTAGGAGCATCCTTCAAGGTTAAGGCCAGCCTAGCTAGACCTGTCTCAAAACAAACAATAGAAAAACTAATTCCTTTGCAAGTTATAAACAAAAAATGGACAATTGCTAAAAGCACCCAGGCGAGCCCCATTGATGGAAGAGAACTGGCTGGGCCACGCATGCACTCTGTGCACTCCCCAGGGCTTCCCTAACGGGAGGACAGGCGGACGGAGAGCCCCCTGCTGGCCGCTGTGTGCCTGCGCAGGGCTCATCCACGCTGCCGCCCCATCTCCAGCCCAGGCCCACTGCTCATCCATTCCTTCCTCCCGGGTGGGGGCCAGGCCGTGGCACTGCTCCCTGGACACACGTCTGTCCTCGCGGCCCCATCGCCGGAGGAGCCGGGGTCAGGTGCTTAGCTAGCCCAGCACTTCCGTCCCCTTCCAGGAACGACAATTTCTCCACCAGTTTCACCACCGGGAAACCACAATCATCTTCTCGGTGGACCAAGGCTGCTGCTCAGTAAAAGACCAAGGACAGAGCCAGCGGTTCTGGTACAGCGGAGCCTCTGCCATCACCACGGCCTGGCTCACCCAGCCTGCAGGGCCCCACACACAGACCCTCAGGCACTAAGGAAGCCTGGGCTGGACCCACAGCAGGGCGGGAGACCTAGGGCTCAGGATCCAAGAGCAGGGCTCTCTCTGGGCTCCCTGGCTCGAGTCACCAAGCAGCTCCAGGACAGCTGCGTCCTCCCAGTAAGACAGTTTCCGGGCCTCATGGGCAGTGGTGCCACCACCTCCCAGGAGACCGGCGTGACACAGCTGGGGCCTGGCAATGGCACAGCTGTAAGCAATAGAATCTGGGAGCCATGGTGGCTGCAGGAGGCAGCTGGTCCTGTGAAAATGTACAGTTTTTAACCCCCTCGGACTCCCTACAGCCTCCCACTTTATACTTTCTTCTCCCTTTGTTTTCTGAGACAGAGTCTCACTGTGTAGTCCAGGCTGGCCTTGAACTCAAGGGGACCCTCCTGCCCCGGCCCTCTGCGTGCTGAGGTTACAGGTGCGCACTGCTGCTCACTGGTGCTCTGGGAGCAGGATCCAGGACTGTGTCCTCTCCTGCACACTGGAGAGTCCCAGCTGTCTCAGCCCCCAGCCGCACCCCACTGGGGTGGGCCACTCGGCAGCATCCCCCAGCCACCAGCCCTGGTGCTCAGCCCGAAACCCAGCCTCCCAGGGGAGACACAGTCGAGGAGCTGCCCACAGCAGAGCAGAGCTGGAGGACAGTGGCTCGGGCTTCGGCCTTGGCGGGCCACATGGTCAGCCCCTGGCCTCCCACACCCAGGCCCCATGGCACCTGCAGGACCTTCGCTCAGCGCTGGCCCTGCTCCCCACACACGCTCTCCTCTGGTGCCCCCCCTTTAACCTTGTCCATGGTGGGTGCAGTGGCGCACACCTGTGATCCCAGCACTCAGGAGGCCATGAGATTGAGGCCAGCCCCATACCAAGCCAGTAAGATGCAGTGCAGAGGAGGCAGTGGGAGTGCCCTTGTGCCATGGGCACCAGGCAGAGGCAGGGAGAGGGCAGTGGGCAGCCCACAGGGCCAGGCACACTCGCCTTGGTGAGCTCCGTGGCTTGCACGGGAGGAGGAGCAGGAATATGGGGCTGGAAGCGCTGCTGAGGACAGCCTCGGGCAGCGAGGAGGAACACAGTCCTGGAACCGGAGCAGAGGGGACTGGTGTCAAAGCTCAGCTGACTCTTGTCCTGGGCTGCATGGGCAGCAAAGGCCCAGTGACAAGTTTCATGAAGATGAGATTCCAAGCCGAGCGGCAAGGTGACCACAGGCCCAGCTTCCCTGATTGTTTGAGACAGGGGCCCCTACATGTTCCAAGCTCAATCTGAACTCAGTGGATAGGCCAGGCTGGCCTCAAACCCATGGAGATCATCCTGCTTCGGCCTCCCGAGTGCTGTGATTACAGGTGTGAGCCGCCTCACTCGGCTTCTACTTGCTATTTACAGCGAAATTCAGAGAGGAGATCAGGGAGGACCTGCAGGCACAAGGAACAGGGCTGGCTGTGGGCAGTCTGGGCTCCCCAGGCTGCAGAGGGAGGGACCCCAGCAGGAGGGCAGCCCCTGAGGAGGCCAGACTGGAGCCCAGGGACTAAAGGTCAGAGTTGGGCTCTGCAGAGATCGCGGTGAGATACCTCACAGTGGCTAAGCAAGAAGCATGTCGCAGAGCCAGAGCCAGAGCCAGGGCCAGGGCCAGCTGACGGCAGGAGGTGCTGGGCACCCTGCACCCACTCCTGGCAGCCGTCCCCCCAGCTCTTCTGCCCTGCCCTGCCCTGGAGGGATCTGTCACCCAGGAAGATAAGGCCAGATAAGGCCGGGCCAGCTCCGCCCACTCCCTGTGCCTGGGCTCCTGAAACAGAAACCCGGCCCTGCAGGTTACAGGAACACAAAACTGGCTCAGGGCCCAACAGACCCCAGAAGATACCTTAGCAACATCGGGGTAGAAAGAGTATTCAAGAACCAGACCAAAGCAAGAAAAAGGTCTCACTTCCAGCCAGGCACGAAGGTGCACACCTTGCTCCCCAGCACTTAGGAAGCTGAGGCAGGAAGATCACCTTGAGTTCAAGGCTAGCCTGGGCTACAGAGCAAAACTGTCTCCAAGTGCCTGATCACCCCAACAGTCCCAGGGAGGCAGGCACAGAGGTGCCCTTGGCTGCCCCGCACACAACCCCAAGGACGGCAGGAGAGTGAGAGGGGCCAGACGACCCCTCTGTCCCAGACCTAAGCCCATACTGCAGTTCTGGGAATCCGAAAGCGGCAACCAAACCAGCCAGGAAATGAGTCGCCACCGTGCCTAGAGTCACGCAGACAGTGTTACAAAACGCGGCTGTGACATCCCAGGGCCAAGGGGGATGGGCCCCAAGCCGGGTCTGGCACCAGCGTCACCTCTGGCCTGGTTGTGGCCCTGTACTGTCTCCCTGTGGGTCCCCAGTGCCAACCCTGCATTGTCCTCTGGAACCAAGTCAACAAGGGGCCCTAAACAGGTGAACGAAGGCCTGTGACCCAGCACTCTGGGAGGCTGAGGCACGGGATCGCTGTGAGCTGGAGGCCAGCCTGGGATACATAGTCGACCCTGTCTGGAAAACACCCCAAAAGGACTAGAAATGTGTTGTCCCCACACCTATGACCAAGATAAGAGAAACAGCAGGAGGGAGGGGTGTGGAGCAGAGCCCGGAGGGCCCCAGGTGCAGCAGGAGGAGGAGGAGTCCCAGAGGTGTCCCAAAACCCCGCTGTCCCCTCACAGCCCCACCGCACTGGTGCCACTCTGCCACAAAAATCCGAAAACCTGAGCTGCAGCCCCCAGTTGTCCGTGTGCAAGAACACAAGTGCCACACAGTCTAAAAATAATTTACTACCTATCTTGAAATTCCTTGGCGGCCACATGACACAAGGAACTGGCCAAGACGAGCACGGAGCAAACAAACAAGCCCAGCCGAGGTGGGGGGACCCGGCTCTGTCGCAAAGCTCATCTCTGTGCCTCAGTTTCCTCTTTCGGAAACAGCCTCCTGTTCTGGCGCTGCCCACCCTCAGAGCCACTGAGAACCGAAGAGGAGCTCACCTTCCGGGCTCCCAGGAAGCCGGACATGCAGGGTTGCCCCGCCGGTGGTCCCAGCCCTCTGAGAGGCTGAGGCAGGAGGATGGAAAGTTCCAGCTCAGCCCGGGCAACTCCGGGACTTAGGGCAACCCTGCCTCCCACCGGAGGCCCAGGTTCAGCTAGCGGCGCCCAGCCGCGAGTGAGTCGGTTCATTCTGAACCGCTGCGGACCCTGACTGCAGCCCCAGCCCGGCCTCACCTGCGGTGTCCCAGATGGACAGGTGCAGCGCGCGCCAGGGCTTCAGGTAGAAGGCGCCGCCCACGGTGCTAACCGAGTCGGGGAAGCGCCGCTCCGTGTAGCGCCGCAGCAGCGAGGTCTTCCCCACGCTCGCGCCG